ACCTCCAACTCCTGGGCTCAAGCAATTCTCTTGCCTCCACCTCCCAAGTAGCTGGGACTACAGGTGCCTGCCACAACGCCTGGCTATTTTTTGGTTGCAGCTCTCATTGTTCTTTGGCGGGCTTGGGCTGGATTTGAACCCACCAGCTCAGGTGTACGTGGTTGGCGCCTTAGCCACTTGAACCACAGGCGCCGAGCCAGCAATTCTTGATTTCTATCAGGCAACAAGGCACTACTAGCTCTATTAACTCACAATTTCAACATCAGATGCCACTAGACTACCTTTAATTATATAAGATCCATATTTTTAGGAATTTGGTTTTTTTAGCAGTTGCTATCATAAAAAGTACCACACAAAAATCAATATTGAAAAGAAAATAAATGTGGCAACATTCAATCTGAGTCCAATATTTGAGGAATTATGTGATACCCAATAGGTATACATATCCCATTAGTAAATAACTGTTGCTATAAGGAAATAAATACTTAACTTGTTTAGACTTACCTAGTTAACAAACAGAACATTAAGTAGATTTTTTGGCCTGGAGCAACATAAAAAATTACTGACACATAAAAAGGAAACATGAAATAACTGCTGAGATATTAAGGGTACTATGAAATAAGAGTTTGGGAACCTCAAACACAGAGATTCAAATGTCATGAAGTTCAGAACCTTGCATTCTTAGCTCTACAGGCCACAATAATAAGTTCCATTATAGATTTGTACACCTTCTTTTATATCCATGGAGATCCTTTATTTGGGAGCCCTAAATCTATTATCTAAGAACATCTGAAGAGAGTAACTTCACTAGGCCTGACAAACAAGAATTACCTTCTTAAAGGGTGAGATCATGTTATTCATTTTTTAAAAAGATTCTGATGGTACCTAGTTACATGTAGTATAAAATTCAATTTCCTAAGCAGGTTATATACAAGTCCCTTCACGATTCAGCCCAAACTCACCTCTTCCAGATTCAGCTTCTACCACTCCTGCACCACACCTTTTCTGACATCACAACAGGTTTGCCATTCCTGTTGCCTGAAATGCCCTTTTCTTGTCCTCTGCCTTATGAAATTTTATTCTAACTCAAGACTCACCTCCAACATCAATCACTTCCTCTTTTTTTGAGACAGAGTCTTACTTTGTCAACCTTGGTAGAGTGCTGTGGTGTAACATCAAACTCTTGGCTCAAGTGATTCTCTTGCCTCAGCCTCCTGAGTAGCTGGGACTACAGGCACCTGCAATGTCACTTTCTACATGAAACCTTTACCTCACCAGAGCATTTTTCCTTCATCCTAAGGTGAAAAAGTAGCTCCTTCTCTGTCGGCATTTTCACAGGTATTATCCTATTGTATTATTGTATTTATTTCTTTGCATTTTCACAGGCATTATTCCATTGTATTACTGTATTTATGTAAGGCTCTATCTACTCTGCTAGACAATAAGGGCCCAATAAACCTGAAGATCAGGCCCAAAAGAATGGATTTCTTCATTCCCTAGTCTACAGGCCTGACTGACTCACCTGGATCTTGGCACCTTTGTATCTGATGACACCAGGCACAGTGGTCAGAGTAGTGAATTCATAGGCTGCCACCTCAGAATACACTCCTGCCAGGTTACTTAGCAGTGTTGACTTCCCCACAGAGGGAAAACCCACAAACCCAATTCGAGCATCACCTGTCTTGGCGACATCAAAACCTAAAACATTAAAAAACATCAAAAAGAAGAGAGTTACCCCAGGAGTGTTAAGACTCATATAATTAGGCTGGTGCAGTGACTCACACCTGTAATCCTAGCACTCTGGGAGGCTGGGGAGGATGGACTGCCTGAGCTCACAGGTTCGAGACCAGCCTGAGCAAGAGACCTTATCTCTAGAAAATAGCTAGGCATTGTGGTGGGCACCTATAGTCCCAGCTACCTGGGAGGCAGAGGCAAGAGAATCACTTGAGCCCAAGAGTTGAGGTTGCTGTGAGCTAAGATGCCATGGTACTGTACCCAGGGTGACAAAGTGAAACTCCGTCTCAAAAAAAAAAAAAGAATGCTCACACCTGTAATCCTAGTACTCTAGGAGGCCAAGGCGGGTTGACTGGCTGAGCTCATGAGTTCAAGACCAGCTCTGACCAAGAGCGTGATCCTGCCTCTACTAAGAGAAAATCGAGGCAAGATGGCTTGAGCCCAAGAGTTGGAGATTCCTGTAAGCTATGATGATGCCACTGCACTCTACCCTGGGCAACAGCTTGGGACTGTCTCAAAAAAAAAAAAAAAAAAAAAAGACTCAGGCGGTGCCTGTGGCTCAGTGAGTAGGGCACCAGCCCCATATACTGAGAGTAGCGGGTTCAAACCCAGCCCCAGCCAAACTGCAACAAAAAAATAGCCAGGTGTTATGGTGGGCGCCTGTAGTCCCAGCTACTCTGGAGGCTGAGGCAAGAGAATCACCTAAGCCCAAGAGCTGGAGGTTGCTGTGAGCTGTGATGCCACAGCACTCTACTGAGGGTGACAAAGGCTCAAAAAAGACTCCCGTAGTTTCTTACATATTTTTACTGCCTATACTTCTAGGCCTTATTTCTTAAATTTTTTATGGTTTACCTCTAAAGTAGAACTCAAGGACACAAAACTACCCATAGCAATCCACAACATTCAATGCAGTGTTTGACATAACACTATATTCCAAAAAGTGGGCTTGGTGGCATGTGCCTATAATTCCAGCTACTTGGGAGGCTGAGGTCCCCAGGAGTTTGAGCCCAGTTTGGGTAATAAAGTGAAACAATGTCTCTTTAAAAAAAAAAAAAAACTAGGGGCAGCGCCTGTGGCTCAAAAGGGTAGGGCGCTGGTCCCATATGCCAGAGGTGGTGGGTTCAAACCCAGCCCTGGCCAAAAACTGCAAAAAGTAAAAATAAAATAAAATAAAATAAACTAAGGCCAAATATTACATAATAATTGACTGAAAAACAGGGGTTTGAGGTGGTCTTACAAACCTTGGGAATTATGTGACTGAGCTTTCTTTCTTCTTTTTTACAATGGTCATAAATAAGTTCAGAGTCAAATATGTGTGTGACCCTTCTCTAGCAAGTATCATTCCTTGGATCCTAACCTTATTTCTCTTGTCTTCAATTTATTATTGCCACCTTCATTTTCCCTTTGCATCAATTTTCTTATTTAATCTTTTTTTTTTTTTGCAGTTTTTGGCCAGGGCCAGGTTTGAACCCGCCACCTCTGATATATGGGGCCAGCACCCTACTCCTTTGAGCCACAAGTGCCGCCCTTCTTATTTAATCTTGTTGATGATGTAGATTTACGTATTTCTGTAAGCCAATGTAAATCTATTTTGTATCAGTGGAAGACATAAGTAAATAAAACCAGAGCTGACTTAGACAATATTTGTTTGCCTCTGAAACAGGTACAACAAAATATAATAAACACAATTCAAGAATTCATGCTTAGAAAATACAAATCTACTTTGAAAGAAAGTTTTTAATTATTCTTAAACCAAATGCATATACTATTCCGACAGAAAGTATACCCTCCAAAAAATATACTGAAGAAAAACACAAACCTTCTCCTGGTCCACCACCACCACCACCTTTTGGAGTAATGAGTTCTCGTCGGAGTTTAGCAAGGCGGGCCTTAAGTAGCCCTAGGTGGTGTGCTGTGGCCTTGTTCTTCTGAGTCCGAGCCATCTGTAAGGGAGGAATACAGTCATTTATAATAAATCAGAATCAGTTTCTACAGGGTAAAATATACCGAATGAAAGTTTCCCCAGCTCTGAGGGAATATTTTTCCCCCTAGGTCCTACTAAAGAGACCCACAAGTCATTACGATTGGTGTCCACAGACTACACTAAAACTCATCTGATGATTGCTTTTCCACTGCTCGTTTCTGCTGTGTCCCATCTAATATAGGGTCACCATTTTCCTAAAATAAAGAGCTCTGAGTGCCTCAGACAGTGGAATCACACAACATCCAATCACGTGGATGCAATCAAGTGGCACCATAGAGATGCCAACTTATTTCCAGATGCTACTGACAGGAGCAATACTCTGGAAAAGGAGGTCATTCGGGTAGACCGGGGAAAGAACAGGTTAAGGGAAGCAGAGCAAGGGATGATGAGGATCTGAGATATGAGACCAGATCAAGGCTGGAGTGAGGGACAGGATTCCGTACTGTTCAGAAAAAGGGAAGAGAAACTGAGGGAAACACTCTCAGGACAGGAAGAGAATACTGACGGGGTCCGGAAAAAGGGCCCAAGGGTGCAAGCGGGCGGGACGCGGGCCTGGGCTGAGGCGAGTCCGGGAGAGAGGGCGCGGGGTGAGGGAAGGAGACCCGGGCTGAGGGGAGTTGGGGACAAGATCCAGGCTGAGGGAAACGGGGGGCGCCGGCCCGAAAAGAAAGGAGTCGGGGAACACAAGCCTGGGCAGATAGCACTAGGGAACAGGAACCTGGCTGAGAGGAGTCGGGGAACCTGGGCCGGGTTCTGACGCGGGTGAAGGGAGAACCGACAGGAGCGAAGCCGCCGGCAAAAGGATGATCGGACTGGGAGTAAAGCGCCAGTTGCGCGTATTACCTCGGCTTCTATCTCCGCGATCTTAGCTAAGGTACTGCTCATGGTGGCGAGTCTGGAGGGACACAGGGGGAGAACACAGCCTTCCCCGCACACACGGGTCGCCAAACCAGACTCCAACCACCCGGCGCTACCTCAGGGCGCAGGCGCGGTGCTTCTTAATTCTCGCGAGAGAGTCCCGCGTGAGGCTGGCTCACCGCGAGACGTACAGCGTGGAGGGGTGCCCCCAGCCCCAGCAGCTGACCCCGCCTTGTCCCGCGAGCCAGCGCGGTGTCATAGAGCCCGCGGGAGCCGGGGCCAGAGAGGCCGCCGCTGTCCGGGCCTCCCTCAGCACACCAAGGGTCGCGCGCAGCTCGGCCCCGCCCCGCCCGACCTGCACCTAGCGTCCGGCTGGGCTCCCTGCTTGCTGTGTTCTAACGACCGCCCCAGCGCTGTACTCCCCAGATCCTGGGCGTGGGGGAAAAGCGTCCTCACTTTGCTTTGGAGTTACTGTAATTAATAAATCCGTAGGGAATTGACAGGCCAGCGTCTACGAGTCCTTGCCCCCCCTTTTACGACGGCTTCTTCGGCCTCCTGAGTTGGCATAGAGACCCATTTTTATGCTCTCATTTTGTAGGAAAAAGAAAACGTCCCTTTTCTGTCACTCAACTCAAAACTATTTTATGTCTGTTTTGTTTACTCCGTGTTTGGCATACGATGAGCCCACAATATGGGGCCCGTATGGATAATTCCCAGAGAGCCGGTACTGGCAACGTAAATTGTAATACAAAAACATTGCAAAATAAGTTAATACCCATCAGTAGGGAAATAGATATGATAGTACCTCTATGCTGTGAAATACATCACAGCCATGAAAACGTAGGTCTGTGGTCTGACTGAATTCTAGGGACATGTTAAGTGGAGTAACAACAGCTATCATAACTGCACCTACGTAGTGATAACCATTTATGTTATTTTAAAAATTGGATGTGCAGTCAATATAGGCAAAATGTAGGAAAGTGTACTCTTTAAAAACCTGAATAATTTCAGCCCCTGTGGCTTAAGCCGGTAAGGCGCCAGCCACATACACCTGAGCTGGCGGTTTCGAATCCAGCACGGGCCCGCCAAACAATGATGGCTGCAACCAAAAAACAGCCAGGCGTTGTGGCAGGCGCCTGTAGTCTCAGCTACTTGGGAGGCAGAGGCAGGAGACTCGCTTGAGGCCAGGAGTTGGAGGTTGCTGTAAGATGTGATGCCACAGCACTCAGCTGAGGGCGAAGGCTTGAGGTTCTGACTCAAAAAAAAAAAAAAAAAGCCTAAATAAAAGGGTACATCCCAAATTCTTAACAGTGGAGTGGAATGCTTTTTATTCCACGTATTAATTTTTTTTTTTTTTTTGAGACAGAGCCTCAAGCTGTCCCCTGGGTAGAGTGCTGTGGCATCACAGCTCACAGCAACCT